GTCCGTCCGTCTGTCCTTCCATCTCTGGATTTGTGGTCGCCCTAAAAAGGGCCAGCCTGGAGACGACAACGACTTACCCCGCTCATCTGGCGGGTGTGATCTGGCGATGTCCAGCATCCCGCTAGTCCCAGTTCGAGAGCAAAATATGTGGTGTTTGGAATTACAATTCATCGGCTCACCGCACCGTGATGGGTGTAACCATTGGATAATCTTAGAGGAACATGTACCCCTGCAAAACCTGAGGGCTCCATCCATAGATACAGCGTAGACGATCACAGGGCAAACTCGTGGTCTGGTTCACGCGTGCTCTCAAACACGTGTCTAATGCCGGACTGGATAAGTGAGTGAAGCCCTGGAAAGTTGGTTGCCTGATTTGCTTTCTGCACAAGCCACTACCCTTTGCAGCTTATAGTGAGGCGAGCCGCAGGAAGGATGCACCACTTCTGGTGCATCCGATTGCTTCTCGGTGCATGCATTATCATGTTGCATGCACTTCTCTGCATAGTTCCATAGCTTCCAGCACAAGAATGGTCAAACTGTAACGCAGACTCAAACAAATACGGGGGAGCTATCCGGCTGCAGAAGTGCAGCCCTAAGCGCATATGTGGGGAGCCACGAACGGTGAGATCCATCCCAGCTTGACATTGTTCTTGGAATGTGCTTCCCCGTCATACAATGAAAACAGCCCCACGGGAAATAAAATTTAAAAGTTGATAGTGGTTATAAATATGGTAAGGAGTGCTGCCTGAAAATGGGTCTTCTTTCATGGTAGCAGTATCGGTGTTGCTCAAATTTATTCCAGCAATCATTCATCTATACCCATGCACACTATCTTCTCAGTACAATCACCTTACCATGTCTGATATCAGGCCATAAGATCTAAGGCAAAATATTTGTAAGTAATACTTGGATATCTCTTTGAAGTCGATTACTGCAATTGGACTGACATCAACAGGATAAGCCACATGAAAACAAAGTCTTTCCAAAACAAACAACGCTGCAATTCTTGTAAGAAGGAAACACATGTCTAGTCAAAGTCATCATGGACAAAGGGCTGGGCATCCTCGACCACCCGAAGGACCAAGATCCACCAGCCTCCCATACAGCTTCCATCACAGTCAAGATCACGGCTCCTTCTCCCTAGTAGGGTCGTCGTCGTGGCCCAGTACTGAATCAACTCCGCCTACCAGCGTGCCATCGAGAGGTCACCAAGTGGAGAAGCAAGCTAGACAAACGGCACTGTCACCACGCCAGACCAGCAATGCGGCGTTCGTCGGATGTGAAGATTCGATGACAAGGGGACAGGTCAAATATGTAAATTACCAGGGGCAGGAATCCATAGAGGCCATCAGTCCCGCGCAGAAGGAATTCGAAACGGACCCTGCCCACGCTTACTGGAAATGGAGCGTGGAAGCAGAGAACTGGTATCACAAGGATGAAGCTACTGGAGCAATTCTCTGGGCACCCTCTCAACTTGACTAGGTTATTTCAAGCTTCTGATTCAACTTTCTCTGTCTTCTTTCCTCTTGTGTATGATTTCTTGAGTCTACTTGGGCTTCAACATGATTTATGAATAGTATTCCCTTTGTAATAGCTCCGAAGAAAACAAGAGTCGAACAACGATGAGATGAATATGTCATAGTTGTGTATGTTATCCTTCTTCCGATCCTACGACTGTCCAGTGTCGACTGGAGCGTGGTCTGGCAAGGTACATCCTCTTTTAGATTTCATGGTCTTTTGTTACCGTTCTTTTGTAATGTGGCGGTGATGAGGGCAGTTGGACTCAGTAGTAGGCCTTCAGTCGGTGCCATTGATTAGATCAAGAAGGATTGCCGAAACCGAAAGGGTAGCCATCGACGCAGGCCCGAACGAAGCCACGCAATTTTGTCGGCTCCAGTCCGCTGGGTCGTCACGTCCGGCACAAGCTGCGGTACCACCGTATGAACAACGAGATGGCCGAAGAAACCGAAAATCAAATAATGAGACAGTTTGATTGTGTTTCTCTCTTGCTGAATCTGAATAAACTTTTCTCAGAAATCAAAATTGGTAGGTCAGACCATGATATGCATCGATGGGCACCCAGCGAACGATGAGCCGCAGCGGCAGGCTACACAAAGGAGGGCTCTGCGAGGTGGCATGACGAAGTCTTTATTGAGGCTCTGTAGACGGTAGGTTCGGTCTATGCGAATCATGTAAGCGAACACATTGAAACCTGACCAACATAAACGGCTGCCTGATCTTTCGGCGGTCTTTTGCCTGCCAAACCCCGGCTCATGTTGGTGGCTCATCGGACTCGCCTACATGAATTTAGCTCCAGAGATAGAGCTTCTAGGCAATAAAATCTTGGCAGACGAGAACGGGATACAGGGAGGAGTCTCCAAAGCCTTCTTGTGATCACCTGTAGAGGAGAGTTATCGCTCATCCAGTTACCTGTAAGTCCGGCGCCAAACTTATTTCACAGGTCTTTCGCCTCGTCTACTTGTTCAACCTTGGCCCATCCCGTGCAAAACCATCGCAATGTCCATTTAGGCTTACCTACCTATCCTGATCAGTAACAGATTCTACTTTGCGTTGCCTAGGTGTACTTCGTTGTTTGGATTCATTATTCATATAACGTACTTACGAATTGGCATTCGTGTAACCCCTGTTCTGCGGGCAAAGCTGCTCAAAGTGCCGACTACGCGTTTCCTCGGTTCCATAAACCTCGGGGGTCTGTCAGGCAGACATATGCGGCTGCCCGTGGCGAGGCAACCTCCATCATTTTAGGCTGATTGAAAGCCCGGACAGCTGCATGTCAGCATGGACCCACTGCCGCAGCGGCCGCCTCGTGTGACGCTTCCCCCCCTCCAGTCTCTTTGCTACCTGACGAGTATGATAGGCGGTCTAGAGAGGAGTCCAGTCATGTTTCCAGGTCTCTGCTTCGTCAAGAAACAGCAATAATAATGTATGTTGCAAAGCCTGCCATAGACATGCGCCGGTTCCATCTTTTGCCCGTGTGCCACCAAATCCCAAATCGAGAGCCGTCCAACAGGGAAACTTCCAATCCCAACTCGCGATATTAATTTTGTTTAGTTTTATAGAAACTAAATCTTCATAGCCATACACCAATATTCCTCGTTCACGCAGCTTAACACATCCACCAGGAGACGAAGGAAAGGCGTACTTTTCACTTGACAAAGCACCAACCACCGATACCACTTGAACAATAGTTTGCTGATAACAGCAACGCCTCCACGATCCATCTTAATAAGCTGAACAGGTCAGATTACTATCACACAAACTTCCTAGGGGGGTGTGTCGTTTTCTTGAAAGGTCAATTTCAGCCAGCCTCTCTCCCAACTTTGTGCCGATGGACAAAGAACTCAGCAAAAACTTGGATGATATTATAACCACGCCGACATGGCCTCCAAAAGAGACATTCAACTGTAGATCAGCAACGCAGTTTGTCCGTCCTGGGCCGAGAGGCTCTTCCATATCGGCATCAACTGGTGACGATGTCCCTTTACTCAAGGAAGGTTTACACGATGCGGCACACGTTGCTTTCACTCCGGCAAATGGAATACCATACAGCTTCATGATTACAGACAAACATGGTAGATCACGTTCACGACTCGCCCTTAATGTTGGGGACGACCAATCTCTCATAACGGACAGCCTTGTCCAGGATTTAGGAGCGAATTCTCTGCCAGTTCCGCCCTCTCTCGCGATGAAGTCGCAACCTACACTTAACGGCACTCCGCTTAACAGGTTTGCAGTTGTTGAAGCTGATGGATCCAAAACAACGATCTCGCAGGGAAAGACACTGGGAATTGGTATACTCGAACACGGGCAGCACCGACCTGGGATAGACATCTACATCGGAGGAAGAGTCCAAAGACTATTCGGAAAAATAATGATGCTCCGGCGTGCTGGACCTCAAGAAGTCAACGGCCCCGGAAACTGCTCGACGGACCCCCAACATGCTGAGGCCGCTCACAAATCCACGAGAGAGGCCCTGGATACGTCGATTCTGACGTTTAAAAGAGATGATGTGTTAGATTGGAATGTTCAAGTTGTCGATTCCAATGCCAGTCGTTCAGGCAGTCCCCTGAATGGGGTATCATTCGAGTCAGAAAATCTCAGCAGATTTAGTCGATTCTCTGCCCGGGATGCCGAAGATCATGCCTCAGGTCTTGACACCGACGATACCCACACACAGCATTTGTCTTCGAGAAGTTTCGAAAGAGGCAAGTCCTCAAGCTGTGCCGATTTGAATACGAACATCGCGGTCAAATTCAAGGAGGTGAACGGAGATAGCTGTTCAGGTCCCGCCCCACCCGGGAGGATTGAAGCCGTAGAACCAGAGCTATCCCCTGATTTGGAAGATGCGCTTTTTGGGCTGGCTGGAGGAAATGAGTCGTTGATATGCCTTATTTCCGAGATTCGGCACTCTGGTCCTGTCACAATGATCATGAGTATACAATGTGAGACTGCCTGGTCGGATTACGTGAAACTTGGCTTAGAAAAGTTGACAAAGCATCGATGGACTTGGTGGCCATTCACGGCTCCAAAACAAACACCCAAGGATAACGAATGCCAGCTGGAATGGACGTGTGTAGGTAGATCTTTCGATATTATTTGAACCTCAGGATGCTAACAAATGATAGAGCTGTGGTGAAAAAAGATGGGAAAACGTCCCTTTCGACTTTGGGAAGAAAATGGTTGAGTTCGTACGTCAGGGAAGCCCCTGTACAAAAGCATCCGATACGCATGTAAAACCAGTGGTGTCTACCCAAGGCCATAACTCTGGTGGCAAGCCTCCGAACTTTGGGAGCTCAAATATCCCATCACGTTCAAGCGGCGGCGCATCTATATCGAACACGATCAGCGTTCAGAACAACATTGCCAACATAGGATCTATACAGCCTCAAAGCGCAGACACTCGGGAGAAACATATCTTCTTGGTTGCGTCGTGCGGTTCTCTACAGCTTCATCAGATTATATCAACCGCGCAATGCACCATGTCCTTCTCTGAAGGTTTACGCAGAGGCTACCGTCAGCTAAGGGGTTTCTGGCGGTACTGGTTCTCCATCTACAAGTTCTCACATTGCGACTTCTTCGAGTTTGAAAAATTTTGCTCATCGACCTTTTCGGATCTAGGCCCAGGATTGCCCCCTGAAGAGTACCCTTATACCGAAGACTACTTCTACAAACCTCGCCCAGCGAGATCCAAAACTCCAATCAGCCCGAAAGAGTTTGAACATATTTACTACCACTATCGGAAGACTTCAGCAGTCAGAATCAATACGGGATACCAGCCGTTCACAGTGATGGCACAAGCCCCCTTCTACTGGCCTCGTTTCTTCAGGCAGCCACCCCCGCTCTTACAGCATCAAATCGACGGGAACTTACCAACCGACACAGTCCCCAAGATCCCTCAACGTCTGACCCATTTCGACGAGCTCAGCAACAGCAGAGAGACCTTCTGGGGGCTTCATGCCCGAGAACAAATTTCAGCTGTTATGGTTTCGATATACACGCTGTTGGCACTTATGCCCTGGTTTGCCTTTTGCTTCGTCTACATCTTCGGGCTTGGGGGTAACGAAGTGGATATTCAGAATGCAACCACACCATTGACGATATCGCTGACCACTGTGAGCTTGTTCATAGCCTGGTTGGTGAAGCATTAAGCACGGGCTCGGTCTTCGCCGACCCAGACGGGCTGCGTAATTGGTACTTCAACAGCGGCAGTCCTCAATATTTTAATATTTGAAGGACTCTTTTATTCAATACCAATCCGCATGGAAGTGACACTGGGACCGATAAAGTTCCTCACCTGACTCAGCACGCCCCCCAAAACGACATATCAACCCGCATCTACAGCCTGATGCCTGATCCGGTTCGTCTGGTATCCTCTTCACCATGAATATGCTCTAGATATTTGGAAAGCGAGAAGGGATTGTGTGCAAGCTGATCAATATGACCTCTGGATGAAGAATCAACTCGGGAATCGACGGCTCATCAGTTAGTATATGAGTTTAATGCTTTCGTTGCTCAAACGTATTCACACGGGCTCCTTTTAACTCAATTATCATGAACCGCTTGAGGGAGCCAGGCGTCCGTATACGCTCAGCTCAGGATAAACTCATCAGACTAGAATTTTGGGTGTGAGGACTGGGCATCGGATATGAACTGCATGGTTGGTCTCGGGATTCCATTGACATGATTCGACGGGTATTCTCAGAGTATCGTTCGAAGCTCAACCCCACAAGGAAGGCACATCTTTTTAGTAGCATTCGGTCGGATACTGTTGTTGACAGGAACGAGAGTCCTATGTGCAGCTCTGTAGCCTCTGTCACAACCTCCAATCCGGAGCCAAGTGGGGGGAGATCTTGCATGCGTTGTAGGCCAGCGCATACAAATTTATGTGGACCAGGTCATTATGCAGGAAGGTCGAGAATTGGGCCTCAACAGCCACGCCTTGCTTTGGGATTCAAGCCCTATGGTTCAGGGGTTCGCACAAGATGCAGCTGTTCTTAGATTTCTTGCCAGTTCGAAGATCGACTGGCAAGGAGCAACGCAATCAGATGCGCCAAATTCTCGAACACGGGATATACAACTTCACCATTAAAAGGGACGATAACGAAACCTCAGGACCCAAAGGCACGACAGAGGATGACCCCTCAACTCGTTTCGAATCTGACCGATGAGACGAGAGCAAATACTTGTCCACCACTTGAACCATCTCAGTTTGCTGTTCACGAAAATCTGCGCTTCGGAACGCCAATGGCTGTCCGTGATGCGGCCACCACACAGCAATCGCCACAGCCAGATCATATTGCGAGTTTGAGAACAAGAGACGCGCCCCTTGCCGCACCCCCAACCCCTCAACGGAAAACAACTGAAGAAACCGAAGATTTCTTCCAGAATTGGGTCGTTAGGGACTCAGACCATAAACCAAACATCACCGAGTTGAGGACATCAGACGTCGAGTCTGAAACAGATAGCGAACCTTGCTCGCGACTATGGGTCAAATCACTGAAAGACTCTGGCAACTCTGTCCCTCTCCTCACCAGATACGAACCGGCAAGTGAGCAATCACTCATTGCCAGGTCTGCCGTCAACAGATTAGGACTACGAATCTTGCCGAACAAGCCTACAGGACGAACAATCAAGACAACCTTTGGTTTTCTCGAGTGCCGAGCGTTCGTCAGCATCGCCGTTGAGTCGCCATTGCCAGGCAATTCTCGACTTGAAACATTCAACATTGCCGTCGCCGAGGACTGGCTTGTCGCAGCCCAAGGCGTTGAGCTAGTGGCCGGACGCAGGATTATCGCAAGACTTCAAGAACTCGGAATCAGCCTCCCAGCCGCCATCTCTGACAGACGTCCAGAAGTGAGCTCGGAACACCCCTTACCAGCAATCTCAGAAACGTCCGCGTCGTCTATAACAGAGAGAGATGGCCAAAAATCGCTGTACTATTCTTGCAAAGATGTCCAGCACCAGCGCGCAGCAGGTCTTTCCGACAACCCATTCGACAGAGATGACTTAAGCCTGGGCTCTTCCGAAGCAAACACCCGTTTGACTGAAGGATCCGACAGCGACGCCTCTGACTGGAACGACTTTTCCAGCGTCAGTTGGTCCAGCGAATCAGTCAGTACAACATCAGCCGAATCAGAGACCCTTAGCGAGTTCGGCCGTACCTTCAAACTGGGGGATGAGCAATTCGGAGAACGGGGCTCAGGTTCATACAATGGCAACGGTGCTGTGTATGAATCTCCATCGAGAGGACGCCAGAAAGGCAAACGCTCCGGTTGGGCCAACACCAACACAACTCGAGCCGTCAGCTCAGAGGAACCGAACGATGATGATCACTCGGATCCCGCACCGGCCGAGAATACAAAGTTACGGGGCAATCTGCCATCAGAAATTGTCCCTAGAACCCTTCAGTGCTTCCAGGTAACCGAGGGAAGCCATCGACAACGCATCTGGGGCCTCCACGCCCGTGAGAAGGTTTCAGCAATGATGGTGCTGATATACGCCCTGCTGGCTTTCATGCCTTCGCTGGCGTTCTGCTTCGTATACTGGTTCGGGCTTGGGGACAAGCAGCCGGACATACAAGACGCATCGACACCGTTGACGATATCCTTGACGACGTTCGGCTTGTTTATGGCTTATCTAGTGAAGCTCTAAGTGAGCTCTGTTTCACCTCTGTTCTCGTCTTCCTCCTCTTGGTATTCTCTGGGACCAGTGATGATGGACGAATTCGCAAAGGTCATGGACGATAGGGAAGCGGGGATGGAAGAGGGGACCAGTGCCAGAGCAGGGTGCTCAATTCTGTATGACTATAGTGCCCGATCCTCTTGAATTCGTCCTTTGGGAAATCAAAAAAACTCACCGGGACAGAAGGCTTCTTCGCGTTGGAGATATGAGGCTAGTGACTGTGATAATTGACGGACTGCTGCTAAATGAATCGGTCATGAGGCCAGATGTTTCTCTTTCACACAGGCGTACATGGACTCGGCACTCTTACACGACCACAAGATTGTACCGTAGGCTTCGAACATGTATAGGATAAGATGCATGGAGAATATTCGACGTTAACCACCTGACTCAGCACGCCCCCCAGAACAACGTTTCAACCCGCATCTCCAACCTTCCCCGGATCGTCGTCTCATGAAACATGCGAACCACAGTCACACACACACATTCCCCCCCCATCTACCCCAGGATCCTCCCCAGTAACCGCCGGCAAGCGGCAAGCGCCGATCATTCACCCCCCCCTTCCCTGCCTTTATCTGACGTCGTGCCATTGTCGTCGCAACCGTCGACTCTCACGACAAGCCGAGGCTCGCGATCCCGGCATGACGGGGAAACGCGACGGGCATTAAACACCAGAGAGTGACATGCATATGCACCCGTGCCCGCGTCTGTGCAACAACGGGACCTCTCACTGACGACGGGCGAGGGAAGCGGAGACCAATTTGTCACCACTGAAGGAACGTCAGGATATGTGCAAAATGAAGGAAGCTCTTCTTTTTTCCCACCTCACCAAAACCGACGTTTATGCTGTGAGACTAGAATGAAGAATAAGGGGTAACCCGGCATGCCCCTTTCCAAAAACGCCAAAGAATTCGTGGATGATTAGGAGAGAAACCGTTCGTCGTGAAAACAGGAAATCATGGATAAAACAGGATGGAAAAATACCATCCGGAGTATCATGGAATAATCAAGAAAAAAAGCCATCCTCTCTGTCCTCCGTCTCTGCAGATGCAATTTGACCGGGCAGTGACCCAAAATGACTGAAACTTGGGTTGGGGTATTCAAGCGCGCATTACATCGCCCCGACGATTCTCGAATCTTATTCCTTCAGCTTGACATAGTTGCTGGGGAAGATGCCGTGCCTCGTTCCAATCATGCCAGTCCTGCGCACAATGTCAGTCTTCGCCGTGTGTGTGAACGGAAACCAAGAGTTACATACCACCAGTCAGTCTCGTTCTCAGTCTTCTTCAGCACCGTAATGACGTCGCCCTTCTTGAAACCAAGATCGCCGGGCTGGTCAGCCTCGAACGTGAACAGCGCAACGGCCTCGTTCTTCTTCAGCATGGCCGTCTTGGACGCAAAGTTGGGCTTCGGCGCCGCAGGTCTGCCGGGCGGGCCTGTCTTCTGATCCGACACCGCACCAAAGTTGGGCGACGGATTGTCCCTGTAAACGTAACTGTCGGCCCCTCTTGACGCGAATGTGTTGGAGCGCGAAACTCCGCCGAAGCCGGTGTCGCCGGTAGGTCGGTCGTAGACGTCGTCCTGCCACGTGCTGGATCGTTTCGGTCCGCCAAACTCGCTGGCACCGCCGGCGCCGCCACCGTACATGCTGCTGCGGTTGTTGTTGAACTCCCCCTCGCCGTATCCACTTCCCCGGCGACCGTTCCATACTACGTCATCGTGACCCTGGTCGTAGACGGGGACGTCGTTGTACATGGCGTCGTCGGCCTGGCCCGTGCGGCCTGCGTTGAAAGCGCGCGAGTTGAGGATGTTCATGAGGGGCGCGGCCTGGGACGGCGGGCGGACGCTGCCGGTGAGGATCTGGGCGGCGGTGTAGCGGGTGCCGTAGAGCTTCTCGTTGGCGTCGCGGCGCTCGATGATGACGGAGCCCTCGAGCGAGACGCCGGCGAATAGGCCCTTGGTCTTGGAGTAGGAGAAGATTCCGGCGACGGACTTGAGGGAGGCGGCGCCTGCTGCCTCGGCGTTGCGGCCGACGGGACCGGCGGCGATGGAAACGTTGCCGCCGAGGGTGAGGGAGCCGGCCTGGGCGAATGTCTTGACAGCGCTGGCGTCGTTGAGGATGAAAACGAAGTCAGTGAGCTCGAAGCCGATCTGTCCGCCAAAGCCCGCACCTGCGGTGCCGATTGCGCTTGGCGCACTCCATGATCCGTCGGGGAGGCGCGAGACGACGAGACCGCTGCCGAAACGGCCGGAGCCGAGGAAGCCTGCCTTGAGGACTGTGAGGATCGCGAGGCCCTGTTCCACGGTAATTAAATCAGCAGTCTATTTTACTGTGGTTTTCTTTCTTTGGGGAGGGCGTTTTTTCGGGAGGCCTCCTGCTGGCGTTTGTGCGCCAAGGCGGGGAGGAAGGATCGCGGGAGGGCGGGGTGTGAAATATGGCTCACCTTTGCGTTGGCGAGGATCGAGGGGGGAATGATCTTGTCGGGACTGAACGCTTGACGCGGGTCGATGAAGGAGGTCAAGATCTTGCCGCACTTTTTGCATTCCGCTGTTCGAGAGAGGGGAGTCAGCTCGTGTGTTCTCGTCGCGATGACGGGCGAAGCGCCGGGGCGCGGGATCACCGGCACAGGGCAGGAAGAAAAAGGTGGACTTACACGCCATAGACGACGGCAGCGGGTTGTGGAGGCCCATGACGATGATGCTTGACGGCGCGAGAGTACAGGAGAGTCGGCGTCGTTTCCTTCAGTGAGGAAGAGAGGTTGAGGAGAAGAAAGGTTGAAGGAAGGCGGCGTTCACGGACACGAAGAGGTGCCTGGATGGGTATTTGGAGGTGATTACCTGAGGAAGGCAGGTCCTAGGTGGGAGGTCCAAGGTCCAAGGTCAAGGTACATGCGTAGTGTATCCGTACTTTCGACGGTTCCGCAGCTGCGCCTGTCTATGATGACCAGTGACCCGAAGAGCGAGTCCACAGCTCCACGTAGTAGTGATTTAGTGGGGTCCGATAGGTGAAGAGCCGCCGAGGCAGGCCTGCGCCTCTTCTTTTCGCCTTGGGGGAGGAGGGGGAGCTTTGATTGTGGTGTTGGGATTGGGTGTTTGTGTGTTGGGCTTGGCTCTTTCGTTCGTCGGGCAGAGGCCGTGGGCGCCGGGACACGGCACTCTTAATGGCTTTTGTCTTCCTTGCTTTTTAACCTTTTTATTTCTTCCTTCAATTTCATTACTTGTTCGGCCGAACTACCTTAGATTAAACATGCAGCCATTGGACGACGCTACGGGGCTTGCTTCACAAAATGCATGTTGCTGGGCTCCCGGCTTGTCAAGGAATAAGCCAGCTGGGGCATCTCTCTCTTTTCACGATGTTTAATACGTTTCGTCTGGGGATTGGGGTGCCAGCTGACAACATGCAGCCAGCTCTGGGATCGCCGGAAGAGACAGACGGGAAAAAAGTATCCAGTAAGCTCCCGTCACTTTTTCAGCCCTCCGCCTTCCATGTCACTGCTACGGTCCAGTGGCAGTGGTACCTTGCGGCGCTGACAGTGAGGTGATGGCCGCCTCTAGTGCAAAATTCGCGGGGTACGAAGACCAGAAAAAATGGAGGGGGCACCGCTGCTGGGCTCGGGTTCGGGGGGCCGTGTGGCCCATGGCCACTGTGGCGCAGGAACTGACGCGCAAACCCCCACCAGCAAGGGTAGCGATCCGAGCAGTGACACTGGACCTGACCCGTTCAAGGTTAGGTTCCCCTACGCTCAGCGTAAGCAGCTAGGAACCTACCTACCCGGGATTCTAGGCCCCCGTCAATCCCGTGGTGGTCTGCAGCAGCGACGAAGACTGAGGTGCCCGTCCAGCCTCGCTCGCCTCGACTGGCCTTTGAGAACGCCCGGGCCGGCCATCGTCATTGTTTCGCCGCCAGCTAAACACCAACCACACCCGCCGCAACCCCCTTTGACGACTTCCAACCCTACAAACCTACCTGCGAACGAGACTATCAGCCGGGCAAGGGAAGGAAAGTACATCTGCGCACCGCTTCTCCTACAACACCGCCACAACCCCAGACTCCTCCAATCTGCACGGGAGGCGATAATACGTCCTGCGACACCGACGACGACGAAGCGATCACGCCGCAGTCGACCTCCAACCCGGACTACAATCCCTCATCGCCGAACCCGACGGCATCCCGACCAGACCTCTCCGATACTCTCCGGCCCTGAACTCTCCGTGAGCGCACGAACGCCGTGATCGCACCCGCTCGACCCCCTATCCGTCCCGAAACCAAAACACCACCAACCCCAAAAATCCGCAAAAATGTCAGAAGCCTACGAGCGCGAGCGCCAGAACAACGCCCGCCTGGACGAGCTCTCCGCCAAGGTCTCCGCCCTCCGCGGCGTCACCGTCGACATCTACGACAACGCGCGCGCCCACGAGGTCATTGACAGCACTGTACGTCCGCCCCCTGCTGCTGCTGCTGCTGGCCCCTTTCCCGCATACCCCTAGAGACATCACCGCTAACACTCCCCTTCTGCGCAGTCCGAAACCTTCTCCTCCATGTCGACCCAGCTCAAGGGCTCCGCCGGCCGCTTAACCCGCATGGCCGCCTCCGGCAACAAGGTCGCCATCCTCAAGCTGTCGGGTATCATCATCGGCATCTTTATCGTCCTGTTCTACATCTCCAAACTCTTCTTTTGAAGCATATGACTTCGAGACGATTCTTCGGACGGGAAAAGGGGGGCTGTTTTTTTCTTTATTCTCTGGCTTGATATGATAGACCAGGGCGGGGCATGATCAACAGACCCAAGAGAAACGACAGGAGGATGACCACTGGGCGGAAGACGAACACGGCGCCGGCTGCACTGATACCTGGAAGTCACTGTGGGCTGGAAAGATGGATCCTCTCGACGGCGCAATGGACACCGCGTAAGAGAACATACGGCGAGCAAAACTTTGTTATGATGGCGAGGACGTTGGGCGTGGACGTT